AATGTGTGGCCTTTTCTGCCTGGCTTCTTTTACTTAACATGCTTTCAAGGTTTATCAATATTGTAGCATTTATCAGTACCTCATTACTTTTCATGGCTGAATAATATTCTAGTATATGGATATACCACTTTTTGTTTATCAGTTCAACCACTGATGAAAAATCTGAGTTGCTTCTACCTTTTGGCCATGAACATTCATGAACAAATTTTTATGCAGACATATGCTTTCAATTCTCTTGGATATATACAACTAGGAGTGAAAATGCTGGGTCATATGGTAACTATGTTCAACTTTTTGAGGAAGGATCTACTCCCTCCAATGAGGGGCTGCATCATTTCACATTCCGACCATTAATGTATGAGGGTTGCAATTTCTCCACATACTCACCAACGTTTGTTACTGTTCATGTTTTTGATTACAGTCATCTAGTGAGTGCAAAGTGGTGTATCACTGTGGTTATGATTTGCATTTATCTGATGACTAATGATGTTCATCTTTTCATTTGCTTATCGCCATTTATATATTTTCTTTGGACAAATGTCGATTCAAATCTGTTACCTATTTTTAATTTTAATTTTTTTTTTTTTAAGATGAGGCAACCCTTGGTTGACAGATTGCAAGGAACTTGTCAGCTTAAAATTCCTTTTTTTTTTATTTTTTACACCTACAGCACCTGGCCTTCCTAGGTGGTCTCCTATCAAATAACTAACCAGGCCCGACCCTGCTTAGCTTCCGAGATCAGACGGGATCAAGCTTGTTGAGGGTGCCATGGCCAGGTGTCTTTTTATTGTTGAGTTGTAAGACTTCTTTATATATTCTGGATATAAGACCCTTTATCAGATATGATTTGCAAATATTTTCTCCCATCTATAGGTTGTCTTTTTTCACTTTCTTAATAGTGTCCTTTGATGCACAGAAGTCTTTAATTTTGATGAAGTCTAATTTACCCATTTTTTTGTTCTGTTGTGTGGGCTTTTGGTGCCATATCTAAGAAACCAATGCCTAATGTCACAAAGACTTACCCCTATGCTTTCTTATGAGTTTTAGCTCTTATAGTTTGGTCTCTATTCCATTTAGAGTTACTTTATGTACATAAAGTTGGGATGTAACTTAATTCTTTTGCACATGGATGGATATTCAGTTGTCCTGATAGCATTTATTAAAAAGACTATTTTTCCTCATTGAATTGTTTTAGCACTCTTGTTATAATAATTTAACTATAAATACAAGGGTCTATTTTTGAATTTTCAATTCTATTCCATTGATCTGTATGCCTATCCTTATGCTAGTACCACACAGTCTTGATTATTGTAGCATTGTAGTTAAGTTTGAAATGTGAAAGTGTGAGTCCTCCAACTTTGCTCTTCCTCCTTAACATTGCTTTGGCTATTCTGGGTCTCCTATATTTCCATATCAATTCTATTCGTCAAATCCTGCAAAAAAGCCAGTTAGGATTTTAATGGAATGGAATTCAATCTTTAATCAATCTGGGAAGTATTACTATCTTACAATATTAAGTCTTCCGAGCCATAAACAAAAGACGTTTCTCCATTTATTTAGATCTTCTTTAACTTTTTTCAACAATGTTTTATAATTTACAGTGTATGTATTGAACATCATTTCTGTTAAATTTATTCCTATTTTATTCATTTCAATGCTTCATAAATGGAATTGTTTTAATTTCTTTTCTGAATTGTTCAATGCTACTTTACAGAAACGACTAATTTTTGCACATTAATCTTATATCCTATAATCTTGCTAAATTCATATATTAGTTCTAATAGTTATTGCGGCTTCCTTAGTATTCTCCCTATAAGGTCATGTCCATTTGTAGGCTAACTCATTTTTTAAAAGTAAAAACTACAGTGTGTGATTTACTTGAGTAGAAATTGATACAACTGATCTCAAGAAAAATATTTTTCAGTATTAAAATGCTCTTTTGAAAGACAAATTCATTCATACATTGTACCAATATTTAAAAACTCCTTAAAGCAAAATTATCCTTCTTGGCTTTATCGGTGAGATCATCCAAGTGTTTTTAGTGATAAGTATATTATAAAGTCACTGTCCAAGGGACAGTTTTCAAGGGCATCTCTGAAACATCGATTTTATTCAGACACTTCTCCAAAAGCTGATCCAGACCTGGAATTAGACTCTCTAAGACCTAAGTGAATGCTTCCCTTTTGCTCGATTGCTGCCTTCCCATGTTAGCTGACATCCTCAGAGATATATAAAATCATTTACTTCATTTTACCTCAACTTTTTCTAAAAGAGATTTAATGAGACCTTTTAAAAAGTTTCATGAAATGAAATATTAGGGACATGGAAGAGAGGAAGAAACTAATGTGCTCACTGTGAGGCATCATGCAGTGAAGAAAATGCAGCTTCCTCTACGAAGAAGCTAAGTTTAAATCCCAGCTCCACCATCCGCCAGTGACACAAACCTGGGTAGATTATTTATCCTCATTTTACAAAGCTAATAAAGCTCAGGATGGTTAATGCTAACCTTATGAGTGCAGGTGTTGTAATGAGACATGTGTGCGCCTAACAGAGCACTCACCCCACTGTAAATGCCAGCAACACTTCTCCCCCCAACTCCTTACATCCTTTCACCACGTGGATATTACCATAGCTCCTCCCACTGATCACTGAAATTAGTTTTGAGCTTTCTGGCAACAAAAACAAAAGGAAGTGTGATAATGTCAGAACTGTTATGAAAAGAAAGAAGTTTAACAGTTCTTACGGCGAGGTATTTTTTTTCCTTAAAAATACATATTTTTAAAATCTCTCCCTAATATTTCTTATATTGAGGAAATTAAGCAATACTGGTAGGCAGCAATTATTCTTCATCAGAAGGTCTCAGAACAATGAAAGCAGGTTTTTTTTTTGGTAGATGTTTCTGTATATCGACTTTTTACACAGCCTGAGTATACAATAGTAAGACGAAAAAAGTGAAAGTGTAGGAATAAGCTAATGTGGTCTTAGTATGAAGCTTCCAGAACCTAACTGGATTACCATGATGGCAGGGTGAAAGCTAGCAGGATAGGAGGTAATGCTGTGTGCTTTGTCACACATATATGTTCAGTATGTCAGAGCAACACCAGGTTCAGTACAAACAGAAAGAGTTTTACAACCGATATCCCCACCATTTCAGGGGACAAGGTGATCGAGGTATGCACACTAATTACACACACAATTAAACACTAAAGAACTAGACTTCTGTGTACAAAGGACTAAATTGCTTATTGTATGGGAAGTAAAGGGTAAGGTCAGGGAACCTGCAAACTTGAGATCTATTTCATCTCTTCCAATCATTGGAGAAGGCTTGACAAAAAAGGTAGATTTTTTTTTTTTTTCAGTCATTAAGTAAGAAAAATTCTCAGCCGGTTTGGAAAAAAGAAGCTGGTAAAAAAATTTTAAGGTTCACTTTCATGAAAGGCTTTGAAAGTGTGGGCAGAGCTTAGTGGTATCTATATCACAGTAAAACCTTCACATCATGTGCTGCTACAAGAACTATCAAGCATCTGAAACAGTGGTCTCTAAACTTAACTTGAAAAATATTTGCAGCAGACTTTTTAAAGCAGATATTATATGCAACATCAGTACAAAAAAATTTAAAAGCTAATAATAGAGCTGTGCTGATGCAAACAGAATCAGCAGGGACCACCCACCAGATCACTGGTTCACATGCTCCGCTACGCCCAGTAGGGACTTCAG